CTCCCTGTTTTGTAGCAACCTCTGCCTGAGCTCAATTCTGTGGCTGGGCTGGAGTAGAATTCTTAGATTTATGGTGCTGGGGAATTTCAACTGCAATCCCTAGGTATGGGGTCAGAGAGAGCTCAGGAGTTTGTGGCCACCATGGCAACAGTGGAGCTGGCCAAATTATCCAGGACCCAACTCATAGCAGCGGTAATACATTCAATCTGTTTTTTCTGTCAGAGCAATGGCAGAGTGTTCTGGATTTGGGGAAGGGGGGCTTGATTTCTCCCCTGCCATGGACAGATCATTCACTGGTGAGCCTCAAGTTCTTGGGTGCCAGTCTCCTCTGCAGGGAAGCCAGGCCTTTTCGATCAGCCAGCCCCAGGTGACTAATGGACCCAACTGGGTTCCAGAGTGAGCTTGGGGTTATTCCAGAAAATCTGCTACGCAGACCGATTGAAGCTTTGTGGCTACATGGAATAGCAAAGTGGCAGCAGCTTTGGATCAGATAGCACCTGAGCGGCCTCTCCATATTCAGAGTTCCCAATACTCCCAGGGGTGTACAATGGAACTGAGGGAACTTTAACAGGCTAAGGTATGCCCTAAGCCTCTGCTCTATGGAACATCCTCCCTTCAGATATTAGAATGGCCCCATCTTTGTTAGTCTTTCATAAACTCTTAAAAACCTGGTAATGTACCTGAACCTGGAACACTAAATGTGTGTCATAGGCCCTGTTTCTTGGCTTTACTTGGCTAAGTAAAGTATGTCGCCTGCTGTGTATATTTATTTTGGATGCTTTACTGTTGTTTTAAAATGTTTTACTGTTTTATTTGTAAATTTTATTTTTTGAACTGTAAATTGCCCATAGTCATTAACTGAGATGGGTGACTAAGAAATTGAATTAACAAACAAACAAACAAACTGGAAGGCCAGAAATCCTACATGCCCGCTAAGTCTTCCCTTGGTATGCGCCACCCTCTTTGATTCATCATTTCTTTATTTATAATCAAATGGGAAATCAGCATCTATAACATAAAATATCCAGCAACAGGCACAACTTACTCCTCAGCAAAAAAATTCTCTCAAGTCACAGCATGTTTATAAATAAAAATTGTTTGTGTGTGGGGAGGAAAGATTTGCAACCTAATGCTTATTTCATAAATGTGTCACAGAAATGTTTCTCAGAAATGGGGAAAAGGAAGAGAAGCCTAGGTTGCTGGAAGAGGTGGTGGGAATAAAAAGATGGGAATTTTATGACTGGCCAAACTCGCCATAGCATTATATGATGAGACAATATGTTCTGCTAATATGCCCAGTATATTAGCAGAACATAATCCCATTCTGTCATCCTCCCTTCCTCATCTGGAACAACCACTTCTAGCCATGAAAAACTCAGGTAAAACAAAAGCAGCTGTTACAGATCCTACATCTTAATCTTTACTAAAGTGGAATCTGCCAGATTGCTGAGTTTTTTCTGCAATGTGGTCTATTATATCAATATCATTTAGTCAGCACACCATGCTGACAAAGAATTTTGAGTTACAATTATAACACATCAAGAGGGTATCAGGCTGCTGAGGTGGCTAATTTAGGATAACATTTTACTTTACTTTACTTTACTTTATTTGATTTATATACCGCCCTACTCCCGAAAGACTCAGGGCGGTGAACAGCCAAACAGCAAAAATACATAGATACAAAATTTAAAAACAAAGTAAAATCAAATTAAATAATTTGGCCCAGACAGATTAAAACACCCCAATCATTTAAAAACCGATTAAAATTTGCATAATTAAAAAGAGGGAAAAGATTAGGCCAGGCCCGCCTGGTGGAATAAAAAGGTCTTAAGAGCGCGGCGGAAGGTGCGCAGATCCAGGATCCTCCATATCTCCGGGGAGATATTTTAACCCAAGGGGAGTTTTTCCTGACCTCTTTCCTGATTTCTATCAGAAATTCTAATCTGATATATAAGGAAAGAAAAACTGAATGCTAAATTAAACCAAATCCCTGTTTCTAAGGGAGCCACTATTCACATTATGTAAGGGAGGCAGCTAGGTCTCTAAAGCAAAAGATAAATCTACAGTGAAATGATGAATTATAAAAGCTAGGTATCCCTGGAAGAAGGCAGGAAAAGAGAAATAGAAACAAAGTGTTCCTAAAGAGCTTTGTGTTCATTTATTTTTCCAATTTTGAACACCTTAGGAGTAGCAAAACTGCTACTGGTATGACAGTACTATTAATTGTCAATAAATCTAAACTATTATGTGCAAATATCAGAATGAAGCCATTAAGATTAAGACACACTACACATGAAAGGTCCACATGAAATAAAACAGACAGGTAATTCAGGACAAGTGTGACCACTGACCTTTGAATAATTAAGACCCCTAGTCAATCTAATAAAAACTAGCATATTTTCCATGTATAGAAAGGCATAAATTGGCAAAGAATAATGTTTTTCAGATTTCAACTAACTTTTTAAAAAAATTTTTTAAAAAAAAGCATTCTCAATGAATGAGACGTTGTAACATGAATGTATCACAATTTTACAAATCCTGGACTTGTAAATACGGTAACAATAGGAATAAGTATTATGTAATATTTTAAATCTTTCAGGTTATAAAAAGCTGAGCCAGAAAAAGCATTCAGGAATTTGGAAACAATTCTGAATTCATTTTTTGATTCCTAAAATAAATGTAAAGGTTTATTTATATGCTCATTTTGTATATGTCCCCAGTAATACACTACTTTATCTCTTTAATAACACTTTAATATATAAAATCTATATTTAATATATAAAACATTTTAATGTCTTTGAGGGAAATGGGTGGTTCAGAAATGTGAAATAAAATAAATAAATAATACATAAATACATGAATAAATAAATAAATACATAATAAATACATAAATAAATAAATCATAGTAGATTATATACAACAAACATAAGACATTCGATGCAATGTACATAGGGAAAGGAGCCTTATTTTATATGCATAGATGATAAGCACCACACTTTCAGTCTATGCTTATATGTGGTTTTAATTAACAATTGAGATTTACAAAAGAGCACATTTAGAATGGAAGCAATCAGGACAGTTAAACAACTGGTAAAACAAATAAACTATAGTATGTATTACCAGAAGGGAAAAATAAAACTTTTTAGAGTATACAAATAATATATTGTTAATATTTTACATGGACTGTTCATTTTTGTAAAAGGCCCACTTCCTATTCCATAAAAGACAAACGCTAATTAATATAAGACATTTGTAGGATTTCATATAGAGTGAGTTGATAAACTGATCAGTATGTTTTCACTAACAACTTACCCCAATTCAGTTTTCTTTTCATGAATAAGATTCTATTTCTACTATATATTTTCTACTAAATATATTTAGAAAATCTGTCAAATCATATTGTCCTTTAGAAAAACAGAACCGAAGAATGCAAAATAGAAATGCAAGCAGCCTAGATCATCTTTAGTTGGTTTATGCAAAAATGTGAACCTCTTCATGCATTGGGTACATAAAAATAAGAGAAATCTCTTTTGTACTCAGAACTCTGTGCGCTTGGAAACTACCCAACTATAGCACTATGAATTTATATGGGATATACATATATAAGGGATCACTTCTTCTTAGTGCAAAATCAAAATATATATTTCCATCAATAATCACATAATATTCTGAGATTTAAATTTATTCCAATATTAATTTGTTTAAAATAGTTTTAAAAATGTATCATGAAATCAGCTATTACCCATGTTTGTTAGTTTCTTTTCAAAAGCAAAGTAGTAAAACATTAATCTGAATATTTATTATGCTTTTATTGTTTTAAATAACATATAAGAATAAATGTCCTGATAGGATAATACAACTTATATATTAAAATTACTATAACCAGAAATAAGATTGCTGTCTTATTCTCTTGAGTGGTGTATACAAGTATATATGAATTCACATGTATGTATGCTCGTGTGTGTGTGTGTGTTTTATTTGAGGAATAATGTAATATTATTTTAGTCTCACTTTGAACCATCTGCTATCATCAACTTCTACTGAATTCTATCTTAAAAATGAACAAACAGTGGTAGGGAAAAAGTTATTTTTCAGAATCATGTTGCAGAAGACCAAAAGAAAGTAAAATGCTACTTTTGGGATGTCTATATAACATGAACTGTAGAATACATCCTATTATAAGCATCCAGAAGAAGAAAAAACTTCATGAGATCAAAGTCCAAGTGTAACTGCCAGTTAATTTATCTGCCTTTACAGACAAAAGACAGTTTTCGTCATTTTCAAAGGATCCAATGTCTTTTCTGACAAACAGGTTTTGCAGTTTAATTTACAAATAGAATTATAAGTATGGCATCGTTCCTCTCCCAAAGCAAATGACAAACAGAGTACAGTTTTCAATTCATACCATCCTCAGCAGGATGGAAGAGATTAAAATAAAACTGAAATAATTTAGACAAAACAAATAAATGTTTCAGAAAGTTGAAGGAGATCAAAGTATGCATTTTCTGACCCCACTCTACAAGCATTTCTTATTATATTGACCAATGTCATCAGATCATTAATTAAAAGGAGAAGTGCTGGCAGGTGGCAGGGAACCAGAAGCCGATAATTGGCCCCCTTCTTCTTTTTGCCTTCAAAAACTCCTTTTTTTTCCCTTGCAAGATATGCCACTAGGCAGACAGAAATGCCTACTTTGTAATATAATGATTAAGATGAGATGAAGAGACTCTTGCATTTAAAGCTGCTATGCCTAATGAATGCAGCAAGCTTTATAATTATGATCTTCCCTTTTTCTTCATAATAAAAAATATGACGTTCCACTCAACATTTCTTCAACTGTCAAAAGCAAGCAAACAAACAAACAAAACAAGACACCATTAAATAGGAAAACTATAGCTGATAACGTAATGTTTGGTGAGGGAAGGTACTTTTTTTTTTTAACTTAGCAGGGAAAAATAAGTAATTCAAATAACAAAGAGGATAAAACCAACTAGATTTACCACTTCACTTGGTAGATTGCTCAGGTCATTAAATGGTGTTTCCAATGTATTTGTGTCAACATTTAGCATCACCACATCCTCCAGTGATTTACTTTTGACTCTCTGAATAAGGAAAAATATCCATGTAAGCATTTGAGTGCTTCTCTTTCTGATTTTCATTTATAAACATACACACGTTTTTAACATACAAATCTAAATTGTAAACGAACAAGCAAACAAACTAGGGATGAAGCAATCTAAGTCATAAATAAATATTTCCATGGCAGCATGTGTATTAAGAATTCCTTTACATAATGCATCATTACCATAATTAATGAAATTTAGAGTATTAGAAATAATACCCATCAAGACTATTTCTTGCAATGCCCTGAATAGGATCTCCTATTCTTCTGTCACTGTATAAAACATTTATCCACTATTTGCCTAGCCACTGTGAGAAACAAGATGCTAGGACAAGTGGACATTTGGTCTGGTTCATCAGGGCATTCGTTACAATCTTTTTTTTTTTTTTTTTTTACTAATGCAAGCATAGACTGATAAAACACAGCAGATACAGGCTTATAGACTTAAATAACAGTAAGAAATAGATGACATGATATTCTCACACGACTGTGTATATTTAATATACAGGCATGTCCCCCATTGATACCAGGGAAACAATTCCATGATACGGTTGGACAGGCTTTCTAGAGTTGTTCACTCTTTTAAATTTAACCTGTATGATCCTAGATCAAGCAAATCAGTAGAGAAGTCTTTCTAGTGCCAGTTTTAAACAATGTCTATGCTAGATGAAATGGCTCATCACATTTCCATACTGAGGCCATACTGAGGGGATATATTATAACTCTTACAATAGTTTTTGGCCATTTTCTTTCCTTTACTAGTTCTCACTCAGTCTGAAATAATTGCAAGCATATTTGAAATAAGAAGGTGATCCTGCCTGGTTCCTCCCACTCCATAATTCTATTTCCTTCCATGCAGAAGTCTAGATATAATTAAATGGCATACTGCCAGAAAAGCTTGGAAGAATGTTCAGCATTCCATTTTGATGCTGATATATTTAAGATTGCTTCAAGGGTCACATGAAAGAAAACTGTTCTCTTCTGCTGTACCTAATGAAGATAGGAAGTTCTCCTATTCTGTTTCTCAACTATAGAGAATCTCATATAAAACAGAGCCAAGGTTAACCAAGTTGCTTCTTTTTTCCCCCTCCTATCCTTCCAATTACCCATAAATTGCATTTTTTTTGAATACTGAAGCCTTTTCAAGAATAGTCTGAGAGATCCAGTTAGGCTTTTAAAAGCTTGCACATTACGCAGCCTTAACATATAGCCATGGAGAAAGTGAAAGTTACTTACCTCCATTAAACTGAAGTGAACTCCAATCAAATAAGGCATTGGTGCACTGAAATTAAAGGGGGGGGGGAGAAATACATCAGATACTAGGAAGATACGATAAGCATGTTTGCCAGCTCCAAATATTCAAATGCCCAAAAACCTGTAAGATGGAAAATTCTGGTTCAAAACCTAGCTATCATTCCAGCTTTAAAGTAAGGAATAACACAAGACTATTTTGCAGAGCTGTTGCAAATCTTCAACAGCTCTCACTTCTTCAAAGTGTGAACTTTACCAAATGGAGACTGCAGTCCTCTCCCAATACTTTTTTCTGATCATGCATGCAATATTATACGATCACTGATCCATCTCTCTTGGTGAATCTCAGTACATATTCAGAAGAAATCAATTGGATCATCCCCATCTATTAATTACTATTTTGTATCTCCTACAGCCATGCAATTTAATTATTAACTTAGTAAAATGTTGCTAATTGCACTGGATCAAAAGAACTCAGGGTGGAGATAAAACCAACAAACAAATCAATATGAAAGCACTTATTAGCACATGATAGATAAACCAAGCTAAACTACCAACAGATTGGATAAATTGTCAGCTCTCCATGTGACGTTAAAAGAAAACAAAGTCATGTCCCAGCCAGGCTTTTGAGAGAAGAGAGTTTCATAAGCCAAATATAAAACTCCTGTCTCACATTTGCATTTCTTCGAATAAAGGGAAGGTGAAGGAAAACCCACTCATCAAATATAAAAATCATTAAATTTTTATATTTAATATTTAGGCAGGTGATACAACAGAGGCTGTCCTTTAAATATCAAGGTCCCCAGCTGTTTTAAAGCTACCATAAATACCTTGAACTCAGATCACAAGCTACTGAAAGTGACTTCAGTTCCTGTAAAACTGAGATAAATTGGTCAGTTTGGGTTAATAATCATCCTATAGTAATGTATGCTTCTATATTTTTAATCAGTAAACAAGTTCAAACTGTCCAAAATAATTAAAGCATTAGGGTTGTAACTGACAAAGATGAATCTAGCAGCACACTGAAAATACACTCCCTCAAGGACTGAATCTATCCATTTCAGTGCATGTTGCTTGCCCAGTCCCAAAAATAAGAATCACTGATCCATATAGACACCATCTTGTCAGATAGCATTGCTTTATCGGCTGTGATATGAAAACATCTAGACTAAAGTTTAATAGTAATAGCGATCTTGCGATGACTCTAATGACTGGGAAAAATAAAATTGGGTATTATCATCACACTGATGACACCTGACTTTAAATCACATATACCCTTCTCCAGTCTATTCTTTTATATTTTAATAGAATGGAGGACAGAAAAGAATTTCATACTATCTTCTAACTCAATAATTTTGAGCAGATCAGAAAACCCCAAATAATATCATTTGTGCAAGTTAATTGAATAAATTCACATGGAGTAAAAGTGGCTGCATTTTTCATTTGTTGGTTTTATTTATGGAATAATCTGTTACATGGCATCCAGCTAATGTACAATTCAGAAGATCAGATCATTTGCATTAATACTATAAAAATTTAACAAAATGGGAAAAATTAATGGCCTTCACATGACCTTTCTAAAAGTTACAAAGCTTCTATTATTTTATATCTACTAGTACATATAAAAAGCCTAAAATGATCTGGCATTTTTGTAATGTGACCCCTCCCCAAACCTGAGCAGTTGTTAAAGGGGAGGGGCAAAAAGAAACATATGAAAACAGTTTGCGGGAAATATGGAATATTACAATGAACAGGTAAAGGCTTTGATCTGCAAATGTCTGTTTCTATTTCCATGTATAACTTTATATTATTATGAATTTACAGTTAAATTGTATTGAAATCTAGCTGTGTGTATCTTCAAACTCAAAATGTTGGGTTTTATTTTACTTTACCTAAACCACTCTACTATATGAATAATATGTTTGCCTTGAACAGCAGTAGATTACACTGAAATAGCAAAATGCAAAATGACCATGAACAACTTATTCTATTGTGTAAGAATTATGTCTTCTTTTACTGTATACCCTTATGCAAGAAAAATGCTACGAAAGGGAAAGGGAAAGGGAAAGGGAAAGGGAAAGGGAAAGGGAAAGGGAAGGGAAGGGAAGGGAAGGGAAGGGAAGGGAAGGGAAGGGAAGGGAAGGGAAGGGAAGGGAAGGGAAGGGAAGGGAAGGGAAGGGATTATAAAGGGTTAGACTTGATCAATACACAGCAGGAAAAAAGATGAAGTCTTGATGTATATTAAATGAGTAAGTTTGACTTAAAATGCAACCATGATTTACAAAATATAACAAGTGTATATTTGTAGATTTAGTACATAGTATTCTTTTACTTGCTGTGATTTTTAGAAAAACACAGTATTGTATCTTTCCATTTCAGCTTTCATCAGTATCTAACATTTTGGCCAAAGTTTTATCAAATCTGGTTCTATTTCTCCATTTGGTTTTATTTACTAACTATTTCCCCAATGGAATGAAAGTGCTAAATATTCGGGTAATTCAGCCGTTAGCTACCATTTTTTTTAATTTTGATTTAAATAGTTAAATAGTTATTTATTAAGCATAGATAGTTATTTACAATAACTATCTATGCTTAAACTTTATGCTTTTTTCTTTTAGTTACAGTATCTGATAAAAAATTTCAATATCTCTTTAAAACTTTGCCCCTTGTGTAAAATATATAATTCTTTTATTTATTTATTTTGCATGCCTGCATTTATGCACAACATAAGATAGGCAAAGAAAATTATCTGAAATAAGTTGGAAGCATTCCCAGGATGTTCTTAAAATGTTTATCTGTTTTTTTAAAAAATCGTATCTCCTAAAGCTTACCCTGAATTTTACCAAAAAGGTGCCCATTTTGATGGTATTGATTATCTGTCATGGCCTAGTCTTTTCTGCTCAGATGCACGTGGCCAGCAAAATACAAGGGTTATAAGAAGAACTCAACAAGGGAATGATTTGCAACATAGGGAATGTGTACTGGGACCAATTTATGTCCCTCATTCATGACATGCATCATAGGCACAGATGACCTAACACCAGATTCACCTGAGACACAATGATATAGTATCACAAACCAGCATGGGTTTCTTGGTTAAAGCAGATAAAGCCAGACTAACTAATTACTATAAAACTTTCCCACAAATATGGCAATAAAACTTTTCTTCATGCTTCTCTAATACACGCTTTTATAGTAAATACAACAGAGATATATACAACCTAAATGTAATGTAATGACTGCCAGAATGATATTATGCTACATATTCTATTATTCAAAATGGTACCTAACACAGGTATTTCCCCCCCATCCAATGGTATTTCTCACCTTGTGAATTGGAAACTACGAAGTTAAAATTAGGGATTTTATTCTGCAAGTAGATTGAACAGAATGACCAGCCATAAACCACTTACATTTCAACCCCCTTATTTTTGTGGCTCTCAGAGCTTTGGAAATTATACTTGCAGAATTCACCCTAACAAACAGACAAGCAAGCAAACAAACAAATAAAATCCCACAATCACAATCAATAAAAAGCATTGAGTTTTTTCCATAAAAAAATCAATTCATTCTGGAAATATTTATTTATTTATAATATTTATCAGCGATGGTATATCATCACATTTCCATTTCCATCCCTGGCCTTCAAACAGGCAAAATAATAATAAAGACTGTTCAGTTTGCCAATAAGTACAGAACCACTTTTACAGTTTACACATTAATCAGATGGTTTTGAAATGTGACTTCAGTATAAAATTGAGAATAATATTATTAAAAAGTTGCAGTCATTAGACTTATGATTAAAACTGTGAATTTGGACTGGAGGTTGCTATGATACTTTTTCCAGATAAATCAGCCTTTTTCATACATGTATAAACTGAAGTAACAATATATAATGTATGACAAAGAATACAGCTGAAAGATATACAAATAGCTCTGTATTTTATACTGCTTTACAATTTACTACAAATGTTAGGAGCAGTTATATACACTGACACTAAATTAGTGTTAAGAATAATGAGATTTTTAGGTTCTTGGGAAGCATACAAATTTACAATAGAAAAGATGCCAGAAATTCTTTTCTGAAACCCACTGAGCAAAACTGCATTCATGAAATTGTCCCACCCAAGAATGGAAATACGATTTCCGCACATTCCTCCTTTTCATTGTATCCTCCTCAGAGATACATGAAGGTAGTTAGAGACTCTTCTAAATTAGAGCAGGGAGTAGCAGAGAAAATTTAGCCCTGTACCCTAAAATCACATCTTTCCCCTTGGCCCCTTCCCCATAGCCAAAGTCTTATTAGAACTCTTCTATTTGTAAAGCAAACACTCCAATTAAATACAGTTCATAAACCAATACATATTTTATATGAAGTAAAACAAATTGGTATCAGTTATTTATTCAACCTTTGGAATAACCATCTTCAGTGTCCTGCCTAGATAAGTCAATTTATGGATAGTTTAAAAACTGTATAATTAGATTCCTATAATCTTAAAATACATTTGGTACTACTTCAACAAAAATTGCTTCATATATATTATTGGCTATCTCAGGGAGTGTTTACTAGATGATGAGTTCCAAATATATTACTGTTGGGAATGCTACTCAGAAATTGAAATATTAACCTATAGTGTCTAGTTTTGCTCTATTATCAACATATTTGAGGATCATATCAATAGGATTGTCACTATGATTTATATTAACTGCTTTGTGTTAAGGATGTACTTCTTGGTAATATACACAATATTTCAAATCTATTATGTTATCAGAAAATCTGCATTTTCTGGCCTGGGTTCCAGAATTAACATTTTTCACTGAAGTACAAATCTATATCCCATAGTGCATTGTTGATACATGTTGTCTGCCATCATAGACTTTTGAAGTAGTTGTGTTTATATATTAATTTGGTGAGATTTTCATTTAATTGTATTTAAAATTTAAAAAAATTATAAGTTATATTACTCCACTAACTCTCCTGAATGTGCAAATACTTTTCTTCTATTCATTAATTTAGTAACATAGCATTTATTTTTAAACCACTGGGTATTAGTTTAAGTGTGTCCGAAGTAAGGTGACATATTATCTTGCATTAAAATCAAAATGCAACTTTTTATTTAAAAACAATGCTTGACATGAATCAGTTTTTTCTTCATATTTCATAGAAAAGTAATACTGGGGAAAGCTTGGCATAATCAGTTTCTGATTAGTAATTTATATCATTAAAGAAAGTGTCAGGCATTTAAAAGGAGAAAAAATGACAATTAAGACACATGCATGTTTTTCTTCTAGCAATCACTTATCAATTTATGAAATATATATTTTAACCTAGTCCATCATTTTCCTAAAATAATTGGTTATCTTACATAAAGTATGAATTAGAAAATTAGTATGATTTTATTGTGAAAAATGTTTATTCTGCAATAAAAATGGAGAATTTAATAAAGAATCATTAAGTAGCTTTAAGTAGAATTCTGTAATCCTGTAAGAATGTTAATAGAATTCTTAAAACAGATGCTTCATCATAAACTACATAGTGTTATAGGTAAGAAACTATACTAAGAAGATTGTTTTTTCTTGTTTAAAAATTAAGCAAATCCAAAATCTGTCAGACGTTTTGGTACTTTTGGTACCAAAATAAATTTTAATTCTCCAGGCAGCAATTAAACAGAACCTTCAAATAAATGACACAACTTGATAAATTGCTTTACTCCAGATAAACAAGAGAAATCAAGCTGTCTATAAATCTAGGGCTTACATTCTAGACCTTTCCACAAGGCCACACATCTTTTCAAGTCAACAGACTTTTGCCTATTCTTTTTCTGACCCTGAAAGTTGGACACATCCACTCTGTACATAAAATTTACACTGCCCTGAGCATCACTCGTTTCCCCTCATTATACCTATGAAATAATGCTATATGATTGGATACTGGTTCTAATGTCAGAAAGCATTTCAGCTCTTCTAACATCTTAAACTTTTGCTATGTATACTTTTGCACCAGGATGTATATGTGCTGCCAGTACATTGGATATAGCAATGAATGAAATTATTTCATCCTGGAAAGGAGATGCTTCTTTTTTCAGCTATGCTATTTTGAAATTCTCTCTCTGCCCTTTGATTTCAGTGATTTTTTTAAGCCCATTAAATCATTGCTTTTTTGACTGGGACAAGTATATTAGCTTATAAGAAATCTAGACAAACTATGATCATGAAGATGTTGTAGAATCTTGGAAGCATTTGAATTATTTAAATTATAGAATTATTTTGTGCTGTAAGCTAACATACTACAAGATGTGAAATAAGCTTGAAATACCACATGTAGCACACACAAAATATTAATATTAGTTCTAGATTAGTAATGATTAGCAATGCTAAATTAGTAATGATTAGCAATGGGGGAGTTCTACTCTGGAGGTGGCTGTTAAGTTGACAGCAGACTCCACCTCCCCTCCCACTCTCTGCTCCCTATTGGTCCTTCTTTTTTTTTTACTACGGTAGTCATATTGATGTATTTTCTTGGTTTTCTTTTTGTTTATTTTATTGTTTTATTATTTATTTTTGCTTTGTTTAAAATTTCCTTTTATTTCTTCATTTTTTTATTGTTGTAAATCACCTCGAATAGCCCCATGGCGAGACAAGTGGCAAATAAATGTAATAATATTAATAAATATAATTAGTAATGATGACAGCTCTCAATGTGTCTGTATAGGACCTTTTGATTACCTTCCCTCAACAGAGAAACATTCTGAATCACATTAGTATCTCTACATACGTTTGGGTGGGGGGGAAAGAAAGATAATACAAAATTTTGGATTTTGTCTCTTCAGTAATTCAGCAACTTCTAAAATCTAGTGATCTAAAAATAAGCCATGTAAGTCATAAGTCATGAAACATAAATCTTGTTTCATATTTTAGTCCTGCAGAAGTACAGTTTCAAATATTTTTATCTTATAAAGCAGTGCCAAATATGGCATGTTTTCATTTTGAGTCTGTACTATTACAACTGGATTTACTGTAATCTTCAAATGATCCTATATATTTAATTAAAAGGCAACAACATATTGTCTTGCTTAATTATTAGAGAGGTAAAGAATAATACATATTTAGCCTCTTACCAGCAATAATCCAGGAGATGTGGTGGGAGCACCGGGATGTATATATGCTGCCAGTACATTGGATATAGCAATGCAGCTGACCCATGAACACAAGCAGTTAACTAGAATTCAAAGCAGACACAACAAAAGTGTAATGTTATAAGAAAGAAAAGAAGTAAAACACTGTATTAATCATGTCAGCAACAATAAACCTGCAATTATGTTTATACAATATTGAGATAAATATTGAATTTCTATGTACTATGGAAAAGCTGTATTACTGTCAGTCACATAATGAAATAACAGTAATAATGATAGTCTCATAAAGAGATGCAGAAATAGTTATCTTCTACTGAAACGAAGTCACTTTTCAATCTATAAATGTTTCTTTATATATTCATTCATAGGCTGAATGCTGTCTTTATTGTAATGCGAACTAAAACGTAAGAAAGTAAATTGTACTGAAAAATCTTTCATGCTAAGGGATTAGATTCCCTTAGCAGAACATTGGGTTTTTGTACATCATTTTGTTTGACAGGTTTATAAACTTCAGTTTTATATACATAAAGAGTGAGATTGTGATAGAAATAAGGGAGAATTGGTACAGGATTTGCTAAATTATCAAAATACAGCTTCCAAAATGCTTATTGATTTTCAGAAATACAACTGGTCATTTTAGAAAAGAAATACAAGTTTTTATGAGCATTACAACTACTTTGTATCAGTCAGGCCAGCAGACATTTAAAATGGAAGGACAGAAATATGACAATTCTATGTGATAATAAGAGTATAATTGGCTTTCCCACAATTTCAGTCAGTCAATCAACTAAAATTTAGAATGACTGACACAAATATAAAATTACAATGTTACTAAATTGCATAATTACACTTACGGAACTTAAAGTATAATTTATAGTTATACAGAACTACGTAAGTGTTAATACAGAACACTATGGAAAAATGCTAAAAACCAAAACCAACACAGAAGAATATAAAGTTATGATATCATATTGAGCTATTATATCATATTTCAGCTATGCCTACGAAAATGGGACTCATTTGCAGCATAAAGGATGCACATAAAATAAAATGCACATACATAGCTAATAATAATAATAACAACTACAATGTTAAGACTAAAATTGGATTAAACCTCCCACAAGCAACAAAGCTCTCCTCTCCTCAGAAGCTTCCAACTCATCAGATGACATGCATATACATTCATGTCATACCCATAGTGGTCTTCAACCCTTCCCAGACAGCTACTGCAGCTATAACCACCCCAAGATTGTGCACCGCACTCCCATCTTAAAGAAACAATGGTCTTTTTAGTAGATGGAAGAAAGAGAGGGCCGTCTGAGATCTATTTTGGTTTGGTTTGAGGCCAGAATAACAATACCAGCTGCAGTGCTTGCTATGCAGGGGAAGGTATGGCAGAAGTGGCCCAGGTACAGAGAACAAACACTATGCCAAGGACAATATCCCAGAGAGAAAATGCTATTAAGACAAACAAATGGGTCCAAGCTGGCACTACTTTAAAATCTTCCCTGAATAAAATGCTAAACAGGAGTCTTACTTTTATTTAATGAGGAGTTAAGTCTCTACTAACAATTGTCCCAGGAGCCCCAGTCTGTTTTACAATTCACAAAGGGTACAAGGAATACATCTTGCACATAATATCCTGCACTTCTTAAGTGTTAGCCTAGCTCATATTATGAGAGCTATTTGAACTATGAAGGGGATTTACAACAATGTGTTTCTGAGGGCAAACCGATTGCAAAGAAAGCCAGATGCAGCCAACAGATGAATTTCACATGAAACAGATCCTAATTCTCAGAAGGCACTGAATGGTCACAATAGCCAGAATATAATCTACTGCTCTGCTTTCTCTTTGTAAATCTCTGCTTATCAACTACGTATTTCCTGATGCTATAATAATGTACATTTATTACAGTATTCTGACTGCAATGAGCTCAGAAACTCAAACCTGGCATCAAGTATGGAACCTTTGTTTACATAGCACTGAGAATTCTGCATAAGCATCTTTTATAGCAAACATGCCAGAGGACGAAGATATATAATGTAATTTTTCTTATCATTTAGATAGTGGATCACACACACACACACAAAACACCTGTACACATTACTATATACAAACTAGGGCCATATTAATGAACAAAAGAGTCAATCTATCAATTCCGCTTACACAATTTAAGTGTCTGACATTCTGCAAGTTGCAGAAAAATAACTAAGCACAGCATTTCCTGCCTCGTGCATTGGCAACTCACAATTCAGTTGTTGAAAATCCCCTAGGTCAGGGGTGGGCAACTGTGGCCCTTTTACAATCTGTGAACTTCAACTCCCAGAATTCCTGAGACAGCTTGGCTATCTCAGGAATTCTGGGAGTTGAAGTCCACAGGTTGTAAAGGGCCACAATTGCCCACCCCTGCCCTAGGTAGCCTACCATAGGGCCTGTCAGGAACAAGACTGAAAAAAAAAATAGCACAGGGTTCTACAACACTCCTCCAGAGTGTGATGTGCACAATATCAATAGCTAGGATAGTTTGGAAGAGAAAGAGTATGTGTGTAGACTTATGCAAAAATATAGGCTTATGTGAAGTAGTACCATTTTGCAGAGGTTCCTCAACCCCAATTGATGGGTTGAACTACTTGTATGTGGTGCCTTGACACTGAAAAGCAAGGCACCTAACTATGATGTCTCAAGGTAGACCACTCTGGCTGCCTAATATATTTCAGTGGAAATATCTTTTGCAAAGCTATGTGGCCCACAGGTCTAGTGCAGCTAAGTATTAGCTTATGTACATCTCATCAGCTACTTTATTGGCTTCCAATGTTCTTCTATGTGTGCAGAAATAAAATAAAGTAACCTGCAATTCCAATTTACGAGATTGAATGCCTTGCTTTTTTCAATGTAGAGAAGGTGCATTTCCTGTAAGTGGATCACCCCGGCAAGCAAAGTTACTGTTATCTATTAATATATCATAATAATAAGGCTGCTCACCTTACAAAAATGTGACTCTGGGTGACATACAACAGTTAAGGAAGTACCGCTCCTTTACACAGCTATAAGATTATCAAGTGCTATGGGTGAAGTATGGTAGCTCAGACATATAAAGCAAAGGAATAAGCAAGGAATAAGGAATAAGCAAATCAAGTTCTGCATCTATAAGATGATACTATAAAAGGAAAGATTGCGGGTAAAAATAATACTTTGCTGTCTTCAGCAAAGAGCATTGCCATTTCCAAAATGGGTGGGATACAGGCCACCTGAACTGGGGGTGGCTGAGAAAGCTCAAATGCTTCTGTCAGCTTTCCTACCTCGTGTTTTAAGAGGCTTTTATTTCTTAAATATTTATGGCATCAACAAACCAAGGATGTTTCAGAGAATTCAGCTTCCACTTTAGAATTAAGCAAACCATTTGTGTTATGAACTTCCGGCCTAAATTAGGAGCAGAGAAAATGCTTTATTAAAATAACCCATAAAGCAACAGAACAAGAGATTACAATTTTGAACAGCATTATATACTTTCATTCAGATTAATATAACAGGATTAAATATGGAAAAGAAGAAAGTCTGAAAGCTCCCGAGGGATATCATTAGGGCAAATTGCCAAAGAATGAAACATGAGCCAGTCAGGAAAAATTGGAGGCTACAGTAGTACCAAGGGACTTAAATGTTCGACAGTTGGAGCTTCAGTAATGTGTGAACTGAGGGTTACTGTATCAAGAGACTCTGTTCACTGACACATGGAATGTCACTATTGACCACCAAACAGCCCAAGCTTGACAGTTATGCTCCAGTCAGCCAAAGATGTCATAATTTCTTAGTTAAGCTGCCCATTTCTGATTAATTTTTGTTTCCTTACCTCTGTAGAACAGCTGCAATTTTACAAAGTGCCATTACCATCCCCTTTGCTGCTTGCTGTTTTAATTGCTGTTTTCTTGCTATAGAGATAATTTAATGTTTCTGCAAATGAATAGCTTGCAATTCTCCATAATGTGTATTCCTTTGGATGCATTTCCAATTACTTTCCCATACAATTTATCTAATAGTCACTATTCTAATCATAGTTCTTAAGCCATTAAATACAATGTTTTCTAGTAATTTTTACATACAAAGAGACAGTAGATTAGATATTAAACCCTTAGCAACTCTACCCAGGAAATGGGTTAGTCATGGATCTCATGCCTACTGATTAGTAACAGCTATTTAAAATAAGGATGGAGCACAGTTAAGCACAGATAATTTCATCTAAACTGAACTACCTTTTATTAAATGCTAGACTTCTAGATTGTACTACTCCTCTTCTGAACAATAAGCTAGAAATATAATCACTGACACAAATCCAAAAACTCAGACATTTATTTATATGTTACAGTCTGTCCTTCTAATAATAATTAGTGCATTTAAGATTTCAGGTATTTTCCTGAACTTTGCTCTCTTTCTAGTACTTTCAAGAGTGGAACAAACTGAAATACCCGAAGATGAGTAAATTTCTTTTCAAAAAGTAACATATTAGTCTTTCACTGAACACAGATGCAAATTTCCTTTGACACAAATATGTAGAACCATATAAGTATATTGAATGTTCTAAAAATATATTAATAAAGATAAAACTTGCTGAAAAACAAACTCAGATTTTAGTTTTTGTCACCTGTTATTTCTTTACAATGTATAGTGTCGCTCCATCTCAGCCTTGGTTTGTTTTAGTTTTGCTCTCCTACAAGCATAACCAACTTCAGAGTGTTTCCAAGTTGGATATACTTCTAGAGAACTATTAATCCTTTTTTAATTTTCAAAAATCCCTGTTGATCCAAATAGAGGTGGGTGGGTGATAAGGGGGGGAGTACAAAAGTTTTGTTTTGTAACATACCAACTTCATATTTTACTTTAACTAAAAGAAAATGTAAGAAATGTTAGAGGGAGTTTAGCTGGTCTCAAGACAGGATTCCTTAGCTTGGGCATCCATACCTATAACAAAATGGGCATTGTGACATTAAGATGCAAACTCCATAATTTCTTTGGTATTTGAGACATGATGCATCACAACATCCCATGAAATACTTAAGGTCAAAGTTTGTGTCACAATGTCATGATGCA